TCAAATGAGCAAGGAGCAGGCACCTTTGGCGATAGAAATATTGGAGAAGCACAAACATACAGTTCGCCATGTTCAACGTTAAACAGGAAGTAACTGGCAGTTTGCCGTAACTTTCCTGGAACGCTACAAAGTCGTAACTCGTGAATTGAAGTCGTGACTTACGAGTTCAAAAGCCTGCCTGGAACGCAGCATGAGGATCGCCGTGGTACTCGGGTACTGTGGTCATTTTGGCGCACTCTAATGTTGTTGTGCAATTTGAACAGATGTGTCAGTATTGTCAGAGTCAAGAGACTTTTAGGGAGAATATATTTCTGGAGGGCAGGAGGGCTAAATGAAACATTCATGGAACTTAGCGCTCCATCTCTTAAAAACTTTAATGTTTTAACAAAATCACGTTATTGTAAAAATCTCATTATTCGGCAGTGGACACATTGGAAAATATAAATTATGAGGTTTCTGTCAGTATTTTTTCACGCTTGGATGATAAAAACTGGTGGAGACATTAATCCCAATAAATGACATATTTATCTAAATCCTGCCGAGGTTTCATTGAAGAGGCCCCTCCCTCACTTCCAGCAGATCGTGTGCTTTTATACCAGCTGAGGATCCACATAGCGACCTGGATGTGAAGCAACTGCAGTCACATGACACATTGTTTGGGTTAAACATGAGCATGTTACAGTCCTGGAGGATTATTAATGTGCACCTCCTCCTGTACTGCCTTAATATGCACATTCAGCACATCCAATGCATCAAAACATTGTTTTCTAGTTGGAGCCGCGCCTCGTTTTCAAACTGTATGTTTTGACTAAAATGAACAATGACAGCAATATAGTCCACGATGAGCAGCGCTAAAATCAACCTGCGTAGTTGTCCCTCCATTGTGACATTAGAAAGTGTCACATTTATCTTGCAAGTGTACTCTTCTTCAACGTTTGCTTTACTTCCTGGATTTTTCCCACATGGAAATTCTGACCAATCAAGAGCAGCTTTCTCACACAAGGTATTTGATCTGGTCCTCTTGTAAATGCTGCCGTGAGAACACGAACCAACTCTAGGCAATTATACAACTTTGGAACAACATGAGTCCCTGATTCAGACCAAAGGAGACCACTCTAGGGCTGAGAGGACACTACATATATCTCATCTGACCTGAGAACGCCCAGCGTCACTGTGGAGAGGGACGTCTGGAGTATTTTGCTCAGCCTGCTGCCCCCTGAGACCCGGCCTCTGATAAGCAGTTGACAATGGATAGATGTCCCTCCTCTAAGCCAATTAAAAAAACTCACAACTCCGTCCCCAGTGCTTAAAAACTATCTGAAGTGCCTCCTTCTCATGAGTGACAAACAGTCCCTCACACTACCATCTGTAGGGTCGTGTTGTCAGCATGGCTAAAAGTGTTTTCAGTTTGTGACAACAGAGAAGCAGCAAATCCTTGAAACACAGAGTGTTTTACATTTTGCCTCAGTAATAACTTAAACGATTAATTGATCACCAAACTAGTTGATTACTTG